TCGAATTTGGAGGGTTGCTTGTGCGGTGGAACAGCAACCAAGGCCAGGTTCAAAAACTTTGGCGAAGCGCCGAATAATATCACCGGCTTGATCTGGGGCAGGAACGTGAGAACGGACCGCGTTGCAGATGGAACTGAGTGGGACATCTGCCAACCCAAGACGGTCGAACCAATCAAGGCCAAGGAGGTTCAATTCGGCATCAGCAACATAACATGACCCAGTGAATGTCGTTCCATTGAATGAGACACAGCATTGCAATTCTCCAGAGAGCCGCAGTTCACCGCCACAGGCACTGATGGCGGTTCTGGATGAGCGTCGGATAGGTGGTCGCCCCAGCGTATTCCAAAGTTTCTCCGATATGATCGTGATGTCCGATGCAGTGTCCAACTGCAGTCGGACCGGGCGTCCATTGACCAGGACTGTGAGGAACTTCCGTTGTGACGGGGCACTGACTTGAAATGTTGCAAGCAGGCTCAAAGCGGAGCCCACCTGCTTGGAAGTCTGCGGGCGCCGGTGCTGCTTGGATGCGCCATGGGATGTACTGGCTGGGCGTGCCTTGCAGTATCCGTCTTTGTGGCCAACGGTCTTGCATTGTCGACATCGATGTTGTTTGTAGGGGCACAATTTGACAAAGTGCCAAGCCCCGCAGTGCCAGCATGGGGATGACGGCTTCTTCTTCTGGACGTTCTGCTGATTTGATTGGGCATTGCCAGAGCGCGACGGACCAGAGGAGGACGGGCCAGAGATTTGAGAGCCAGGTGGCTTGGAGGCCTGGCGAACCGCATGAACTTCGGGACCACCTTGGCCCCCAGATTGGACCAAAGTGGTGTCATGCTGTAGGTTAGTCAACCGTTGGTATTCGTCTGCGATGGCGTTGAGAGTCAGCGAGGGGTCTTGCTCCAGTCGGTTGAGCAAGCGCGTCCGTATGTCTGCGAACTTGGGAGATTGGAGGCTGCATATGAAAATCAGAGATTTGAACTGGTCAGTTGTGAGCGACTTCAATTTGAAACGTTCGCATTCGCGATTAACAATGCCAACGTGTGTCAAAAAGTCATCTGACTCGTTCATAACCAACTTTAGACATCGGTACCGCGTGTTGAATAGAGACGACCGTTCCCCAAAGGTTACCATAAGCGTCTGTACGGTGTCATCGAATGACCTGTCGCGTGGGTTCTGTGGCAGGATGAGGTTGCAGTACTTGTCCAGCTCTGCCGGGCCAAGTTTACGAAGCAAGAGCCGGACTTTCCATGCATCGTCCTGCGCAGCGAGATCAACTCGGAATAGGTCCTCGTAACGGCGGAACCACGTCTCGAACGTAACGTTAGCGTCTGGATCGTAGTTAAATTCCGCTATGCTATTCGCAATCGCATCTACCTGCTGACCGGGCGCCGGATTGGACGTAGCACTACTAGCGGGAACCTTTAGCTGCGTAAGCATCTCGATGAGTTTAAGCTGTTGCTCGAGCAGGGCCTCCACTTCCGCAGGATCCATTACGAGTAGAACGAAACCCCTCGTCGCCAAATGACATGTATCGGAATCGGGTACGATCAACGGATATACGCGACCTGAGAACGAGCGCACAACTCCCCAGCTATGACGCGAGCCCAACCACTCCTAGCGCAGACAGAGAAGAAGACCAGACCTTCAGAAGAGGGCTTTTACTGCCTCAAACAAAGGCGAATTACAGTGGGAGCAATGTCATATATATATATATATTTCGAGCGACCTTGGGGAGCGATAAGTCAGTTAATGCGCACAAAGTATAACTGGCCAATAGGAAAAGAGCGCGGTCTTTACGGATTGAGGTGCAACATAGCGGAAAAGGCGCGAAATTTAAAATTTCAAAAATTTTTGAAAATAAATTGGCAATAACTCGGAAAATAAGCAGTTTTTGGGGATACTGACAACCCCAACAATAATGCGCACATTCGCCTGCCAGCTAACTGAAGGTAGATTTATTTTTTATAATAAACGCTATGGCCAATGAATCCGTTCCGGATACGAGCCGACCATTTACGAACTAGTTCACGGGGACTGCACTAATTTAGGGGACTTATTTTGGAAAGCCTTTGACTGTTTTCAGCACAGAGTTGACTACGTAAAAGAGGTGGTCAGCATAGCTCTTACGATTTTGCCAAATTTCCACCAAAAATAAAAAGCTTTTAGCCGTCTCGTTTAAGTGTGTGGATGCAAGATATAATGCACAGTACATAATGGAATGAAGTCCGCTTATGAGCCAAAAAAGATGTTTTGCGATGGTGTTGCATTTGTATCGTACGCGGAGTTAAAATAATGAATAATTTCATCACAGCAGATGCAAATTTCTCGGTACTTCGCAACGCAATAAACGCTACTCAACTGGGCTACGACCTTTGAAACTAACAATCTTTGGATGACACTGATGTAAGTTCTCATGTGTGGACTGCTCGGGTTGAATTATTCATCGCTATCTTCTGTGCCGGTGATATACTCGGAGTTTCTGGTTGCTCCGATAATGGTTATATTTGTATATTTGGTAGCGCACATTAATGCACATACTAACGGGAGCACTTTTCCGAAGCCTTTAGTTTATGCTTGTTACCGTGTGCTTATAAATAACGGGGTGAGATCAGAAGTTGTACTACGAGCGAGACATTCACCGAATCCCATACCTCGAAGAAGCAATAAGTATGCGTTCATTGCGTTCCTGTAGATCCAAGTTTGCGGGTTAGAAGAATGGCAAAGACGTGGTTGACTGTCTCTAGCGGTTGAGAAGAGAGACAATCTCAGAAAAGAATACGACGTGATCAAAAACTTCGGCGTGGTTATAGTTTACACAAAAGGTGGAAGTTTTCGAAAGACGGATGATGCAGGAAGTTAGGAAGCGATGCATCCAAGTATTTCAGTGTGTACGATCGAGGGTGAAGTCATGCTCATGCAGCTGCCAGTGTCAGTCAACCTTAGTGATGGGATTAGAACAATCGCGAACAACAGCACTTGAATAAACAACGGTCGGGTCATGTAGGCAACCGCAGGTCCAATCACGAACCGGACTGACCAGTCTGACCAAGTCGAACAACCAGTGCGGACTATAAAACGGTGGTCAACAAGAACAGTCACTTCAATTTATCAATCGTAAACGTGTACCATGGGCATACTGGTTCCAGCTGCTAAAGTTTCGATCACCAGATAATGGGACCGTGGAACGTACAACCAAGCCTTGGAGGCGAAGGCATGTTTGGAAATTGAGTAGCTACGCATTGAAGGTGATAGTTTTGATGCACGGGCGCCACTGACTGCGTGATTGGGCCATTTCTGTCAATGTCATTAACCACTGGTGATTTGAGCCCCGGGGGTCCCCATTCAGGGAGGCGGCAGTTGCCCAACCAACTAAGCTTACTGGTTAGTGTTTTCGTGTTTTGTCCGGTCATACGCTGTCTCAGTAGCTTCCGCTCAGATCTTTTGATTGGTTTTCGAGCTCACCACATCACTTACGCAGACGCATAAGAGCGAAGCTCAGGTAGTCATCTAAGAGCAACTAAGTGTAGAATACCAAGCACTTATTGGATGGATCTTAAAGGTAAATTAGCGGTTACAACCAACTATTTTGACTGTTAATTCAGCTCCATGGCATTAGCGTCCCTTTCATGGCGTCGGCAAACCACATTCGAAAAGTCTCCAAATTCAGATACCTCATAGAAATATATCATTCAAAATGCTGAAGCTGTAGGGTTCAACAGACACCAGCAATAAGGCAGATGCCACGTGCTCACTGCATCTGAGAAGGTTTTGTATGGATTCCATCACGATCAAGTGCTCGAGTCATTTCACTAGAGAGTAGTTACGAAGGTTAAGGATGTTCTCGGTTGGCGAAGACGTCATAACTCAGAGATAGTTAGGCTGTGCATTGATTTCCTTCAGTGGACTTATTTTTACTATTCTCCCAGGTTTTGCGAAATTTAGCCACGAGGGCAAATGCAGTTAAAGACATACAAAGTATCATGGCACTGGCGTGAACTCAACAACCTAGAGGAGCTTAACCGTCTGGGAATCATGGAGGGGCGAACAGGTTATCCTCGACCTGAGGTTTAGGATAACATTAGACAGTTCGCAAGTGAGGGAAACCCAAGTCTTTGTCACGTTTGGTTACACACAGTCATCTCCATACGTGCTTCATAGCTTCAAGGAGGCTAAACACTCAGGCAGTCGCACCCTTCTTTGGCAGGTTGAAAAATATGATGTACCCTATAAAATGTGGTGGTATCTGGCATCAGTCGTGGCTTAGTTTCAGAGGTATTCGCTGTCTGTTGATAAATGGGTTCCATTACCAGCCTATGACCATTGGGTGATTATGCTGTAGATATTAAATGCCGTCTGCTCACGTGGTATCCTATCTCCTCGTTAGAATCCTGCTCGCTACACGTTCCTCACAATCCACAGTTATCTGGTTTGCTACGTGGGTATGGGAAAATGTTCGGCTTCCCGGTCTTAGTGTTCTGTCAATGGATCTGCACGATCCTTTTGGTTTGAAATATTCACTTGACTGTTTTGTTCTTCAAGGTCGGACTTTGGATTCGATAGTTCAAAATCAATGCGTGAATATGGACAAAGATACGGGAGAGTCCCCGTCCACTTCGGACTTTAGTTGCTCGTTTTTTCTTTCGAAACATGTCTTGTTAAGTGTGTTGCGTGACCTCAGTATTTGTTTTACAGTGATGTCTCCTGTCGTGCGTACCACGGCTGCGCTCTCTGCGCAGCTGAAGTGTCCAGTACTTGGATCTTGCTTGGATTACTTTATATTGGTTCCTTCAAATGCTTTGTCCGACAATGCAGACAACGGCCCTTTCCACCGCTTTGTTCCCCTGAATTACGTCGACTTTCAACCCGATACAGAGGACTCCTCCAGCGTGAACTACCGTTATTTTTTGTCAGCAAAGTTATTCGATCGGTAGCGTTCTACGCTTAGCTCAGTTGCACCTCAACATCGTATATTGTTAGCCTTAATGATGGGGTCCAACACTATGCCCCAACTTCGGCTTCCTCCGGAACTGCACGAAGGAATATGTGCATATCGAGACAAATCCAGAAGTAAGAGAGAACTCCGGTTTTATGCCATTCGTGATTGGCTCAGCCAATTCGCTCCCAATTCCAAAGAGCCCGTTGAACGCATCATTGACGCTCAACTGGAAGGGCACCGAGACCAGTTCATTCAACAGTTAGCTGATTGCATCCCAGGTTTTACATACAACCTTGAACACCATAGCCAATTGCTGACTACAGCGCTTAATCTTCCTGAACCATATCCAAATGTCATGTTTGGTGAACTTTGTTTGTCAGACTCCAATGTTCAATCTGCTTCAGTTCGGAAAAGTGACATACACGCTTTGTTGTCCGGGATAGTTATTCCCTGTCTGCAGCGTACAAACTTTACAGTTGGGTGACCTTCTCGGTTCTTGAAAGCCTTTCAAAAAGGGAAAATTTTGACCACATCTTTTCAGCGTCTCTATGGCCATTGGGTGATGTTTGCAGGATTGCATGAGGGATATTCAAGAAGGTCGCTTTCCTATATGATTAAACTCCCTATTCGTGTAATGCACTATCGTTTTATCGTTGGTTTTGAACGTCAGTTGGGTGGTTGCGATAAATTCGTCGGTCTGAATCCTCATGTTACAGAGTACTTGCCTTGTGGTAAAAAATTGGTATCACTGACCATCCCGATCGATCCCATCAATCGCGACCCAAGCCTCCAACATACGGATCAAGTTTTCTACTCGCCGCTTGGCATTACTCTTCTAACGGATCCTACAGCACTAGGCTGGATGATCAGCCTGGCTGTCACGATTGCTTATTGTCGTGCGCAGTGGTCTCTCGAAGGAAATTTGGTTCCTCCATATCAGTGCTCACTTAATTTGACCCTGGTGGCGTGTGCTGTCGTCAGCTTTCAGGCTGATGAGGATTCGTTAGATCACTACGAGGAACTGTGTAATGCATTGGAAGCAAAATTTGTCTTGGAGAGTTCGTGACTTCCGTCCCGTGACGGTCTCTCATCGAACCTCATGACCATTTATTTTGCCTATACTGGTTTGTGGTCATTGTTGAACCTCATTGAAAGTATGATGCCGCCTACCCATGAATCCAAACTGTTACACTTCCTGCCACTTTGGCGCTTATTTCCCTCCTGCTGTTTGCAACACTGGTTCGCTGTCGAGTTGCAAACCCATCCTCCCGAAAAGAGGTATCAAGTTGCTATCCGGGACCTGATTCCACGTCTCTACCGGAACACCAATCGTGGTGGGGTATCAAATGCTTCTGAGTTGCAAGCGTTAGAGTCCACATTCAATCAGGGACTTCAGACAATTGTTTCTCTAAACATGTCCCCGATCAATCCGGAACATACTTTACAGGAGGTGAAGCCACACATCTCCAATTCAAAACAAGATCGAGTTAGTCATTCGCCTAGTGCACTGGTTCCACAACAGCTTCAAGTTAACCGCGGCGTACTATCTGTCCGATTCGAATCATCTGACAAAATTTATTCATCTAAGCAGTCTCAAAGTCATCGCGCACCATTGCCACAAACTATAAAGACCACTGGTCCCCGTCACCATCGAGCGCCACCGCAAACGGACAATTCAGCTGGCTTTGTCGCGAACCACACACGTCGTTGGCGTCCTTGCACTGCATCCGCTCAGCCGCAGAACCCACCTAGGTCTGATACGTCTCATTAGCTGTAACACATGACTCGGTGTGAGTATTTGAATTCCAATTAGTTTTTTGTATAAATTACGTGACATTCGCTACTCATCTTTAATTTATCCCCAAAATCCTCTGAATGGATTCTTGTTGGCAACGAAATCGCTAATTGTACTCCTATCGCATCAAGCTACTTGGAACTGACTCTAGTTCGAAGACGGCAATCCAAATTGAAATTTTCACTAGATGTTAACGTTGCTATTTTTGCGAGGAAATACCGTATAATGTTTCTTTTTTCAGTAAACTGTGGATTTTGTCTATTCGAACAAGTTTGCGAAAATCAAGCTTGATTAACAATCCCATTCCCTAAGGTAACTAAAAATCAGTTGGATGCATACGTACGCTACTGGGAGCAACATTGCTTATGTACCTAGAAGGTACGATGTGACACAACTAAGACATTATGATGAAACATTGAAATTTCTGCTTTGCAAATTAGGCTTTGAAACACACGTCAAAACTCATTTGCCCGGATAAGACGCGTGCTACAATCCATTGAGGCGAAACGTAGTTAAAGAACAAAGGCTCTTGTATTTGAAAATTGCCGATGAGTCTACCATTCACAACAACGTAACACCACCTCTCAGTGGAAGGGTTTTGAACTCAAGGAGACCTGAGGCGCCTTTTCGGATACCGTGCGTATTTTCTTCAAGTTTTTACTGTTACTCGTGGATTCAGTGCACGTTTAGGCTGGGTTTTCGCGGTTGTGGGTGTTGACTATTTAAGATCGTCTGATTCACTAACGAGTAGTGTATATGCGATCTAAAGCAAAAGACCGTAACATACTTTTGTTAACAGTGCGGTGAGGACTTATAGTCGGAGTTTAAGCACCATATATAACCGCTATGTGGCAGCCAGGAGGGCTATGATGAATGTTGTCAACACTAAAAGTGGAAACTTACATGCAATGTCTCGTCAGACGATCAAGAAGACCTGCGCTGCCAAGCGTTTTCACTTATTGGGGAATCTAAAGGAGGTCATGTTTTACTCTTAGAGAAGGGTGCACCCATAATGGTCAGATCTATGCTGAAAAGTCGAGAAGCTGTACAGGTTTTCCATTCTCAATGGGAATCATCAGCAGTGCTCATCTCACGAAATTAAGGGGATTTTGAAACAGCGACCCTCCTACCAATGGCTGATTACTTAACTGTTCGGTCAAAAGCGGCTGATTAGGTGATTAGTCCGCAGATATGGCGTCGCTCGCCCTTCAGTTACAGAAACCATATCACGAGGTCACGTATTGGCCGCCTTCGCGAGTGATGACTTCTTCTTAGATGGAGGTTTCGCTCATCTTGTGGAGTTATTCTTCCTTTGATCCATTTATTATATACTGGTGATAGTTTCCAACTGAGATGCGCATTGCTGGTGATTCTCAGTAAGGATGAAATAGCTGTACAATGCTTCTCAGATTTTCATCATAGACTGCCTTCACTGACAGGGTGAAACCTCAATTCTTTCAGGTGGTTAGTGCGTGTGCTTTCTAGGGTTAGCGCCACTTGCAGCAATGTTCAAGTAGAACGTGAACTTGATAGAAACCCCGAGACTACACTGCGCGATGAACCCCGAGAATGGTTAAGCCGGAAGTGGACTAAGGGTTTTCAGCAACTTTATAAGTAGTGTTATGTGAAGACGAAAGTAACTAGTGCAGTTGAGTGGATACACTTCTTGAGGCATGGTGCAAATTGAATATATGACAAAGCTTATTGGATGGCAGTTCCATCAACCAACTCTGACAGTTGAATCTCTCTGCTCGAGGAAGACACTGCCGGAACCTACGACATTTATACCTAGTAGTATTAGCGCTCTTTTCGAGCAGAGCAGTCAAATTTGGATGCGAATCACCTTAGGACCATTTTAGGTAGCGACCAAGTATTCTCAAAGCTGTAACAGGGGATACGGATAGGAAATGTAGATGATGGGCTTGGTGGATAAGCTTATTTTTTCGGTCGGGAGATAGTTTAGCGTTTTCTGACGGCTGCCACAGGTGAGAACAATATTTCTTCCCTCGGTACATTTGATCTGCGTTCTGAGTTAGCTAAAAGGAGGAAGCGCTCTGATTGTGAAACGAGGATAAGTGTGATAATTAGAATAGTGGTAGGTGTTTAGCGTTGACGGCTGCCACAGGTGAGAACAATATTTCTTCCCTCGGTACATTTGATCTGCGTTCTGAGTTAGCTAAAAGGAGGAAGCAAGCGCATTGTGAAACGAGGATAAGTGTGATAATTAGAATAGTGGTAGGTATCGTAACTACCGAATGTACGCGTAGTATAGAAGTCCGAATATGGACGAATGAATATCGTATATTCACGTATATCGCGGGCGTACTATATATATCGCATCGTAAAACAAAGGCATATAAAAATACACTAAACAGAATGAATAGAATAGAGTCAATGTTCACCACATCCACCACACGTTGAATGAGCGTGCGGGTGTTTATAGTCTCTAATAGGTTGGAACCTCAAACGTTCAGATCTTCTCAACGTCGGATTGTCAGGTTCAGTGT